GTGCGGGATTACGAGCCAACAGATGAAGATGTCCTTCGCGCTCGATTGCGCACGCTTGACATCCAGGAACACGAACTGATAATGGATGACGGTGAGTGAAGCGTGAGACTTCTTTGTCTTTGTTCTCTGAAACTATTTTTGCAGAGACCGATGCTCCGAAATGGAGGATTTTCGATGTTGGCGGCTCACGCACACAAGTCCGTGTTTCGCCGATTTTCCAATTCATGCTCATTACCGACGATGTCTACTAGCGTCATGCGTGGCTGCCGTATTTTGATCAAGTCAATGCGGTCATATTCCTCGCACCAATCTCGTGTTTTGACGAGCGGCTTGTTGAAGACTCCCGTGTCAACCGTCTGGAGGATTCTTTCATACTCTGGAAGGCGATATGCTCATCCAAGCTTCTCTCGCGGACGATCCTTATCCTTTTTCTTAACAAGATGGATATTCTCGAGCAGAAAATCAGACACGGCGTAATGGTGAAGCGCTTTCTCCCCAGCTACGGCGACCGACCAAATGAGATGAATGATGTTGTCAAATGTATATATTTCTTGCTGTGTCGTGAACTTTCAGCGTGATTAAACGACTTACCTCTAGACCTTCGACAAAAGTTCAAAGACACGGTGAGGTACTGTTCTCCGGAGCCGCGGGTATGTCATATATACCCGACATCCGTCACTGTTGGTTTTTTCCCTTGTTCCAGGCCGAAAGTCCTGTTAATTTTCATTTGCTTGATAGGATACGAAGACTATGTCTGTGACGCTAATATCTGGTGTGTGCTTCCATATCCTTCTGTGGTTTACGCAACTTGTTGAAGTAAAGGACCCACCTGGCAGTGCGCGACGGGATTTTGCGCGAACACCTGAAGCGGGCAGACTTATTTTGAGCGCAGCGGATCACGGAGTGACGGTCACATTTGTAATAACAGATCACATGCGAGACCTTGGCGAAACCTGATCATGATGAAGATACGACGGATGACGATATAGATACGACAAATGTAATGAGTGCACGATTACCCCCCTTGCTTGCTGAACCATGACTCGTGAATACCTTATCGTAGGTATCTATATGGACCCAGGGCATAATACAATCTGTATGGACTTCTCACATGACCGCACGCTCAACTTGTCTGCCAAGTTACAGTGGCCTCCATCCCTCGCCTGCGGGTAATTTGAGGTTGTCTGCCTCCTTCAGAAAGTCGCGATGTACTCTAGAGTTCTTCATCTGCTCCAAGTCTTCCCCTGAGCTCGGCTCATCTTCAGTAGGAGACTCAGTATACGGATCACGATCAACATGAGCACCATCATCGTCTTCCCGACCGGTATCCGTCATCAGCCCCTGCTCGCCCTCCTCCACCCATCTCCCTGGCGCAGGGACATGCGAATGGTGAACGAATCCCCGCCGACTGAGACCCGCCTCAGCTTTGTACCGCGCCGCATCCAATTTCGGCTGTGCTCTGAGTTGGAGATTTGAGATAGTTTTCTGGATGTGGGACATTGGTGAGGTGTCGGTGGTGTCGCGGTCTCTCGTGAGGGAGGTATGACGAGAGAGGCCTTGGAATGAGGATGTTCGTGTGTGGGTGGGAAATGCAGATGAGGGGGCGGATGATGGGAGCTCCATTGTGCTGGACGCTGCAGTGAGCTGGATGCTCTCGGGGCGCTTGCGCCGAGGAGGGGGAAGTGGACGCGTTGCGGTGTGGTGCAGTGACATGGATCGCGTTGGACGTATGGATGAAGACGTGATGGATTCTGCTGTGTCGTTTGTAGGTCTGCGATCCGGGTGAGTCGGTGGCGCGGGTAGATGGGGCGAGTCGTCCGGTGTCGTGATTGAGGGGTGGTTTGCGGGAAGCGTTGATTCTCTGGTGGGACGGGGTGGGCGGATCAGGGTGGGCGGATGTGAGGACTGGGTATTTAAGCTAGCGCTCGCCACTTGGTCGATGGACGGCAGGGAACTTGATGTTGATGATGGAGAGCTGGGTGTTCGTCGGCGAGGAAGTGGAGGTGCAGGGCATGTGTCTTCAGAGCCAGATGAACGACTCCCAAGTCCTTTGTGGAGCTGCTTTGTAGGACTTAGACTACGCGGCCTACTGCTCGCAGACGAGCCAGATGATGTCGTCTTGAGCACCTGCAGAACACGCTGACGATCTAGCTGTTCTTCAACACGCTTCATGTTCTGACCGTGCTTGCTAGCCTCTAGTGACTGTTTCATCAGGGGACTCATGATGTGACTCGGTTTAATACTATGGGGAGCATCAAATGGTGCCAGAACAGGTACACCTCGGGGTTGCGCTGATGATGTGCGACGTGCCGGAGCGACCAAGGGTGCCGGTTTTCGAGGAGGAAGTGGTGGTATTTTGCTATCCTTGCGCCTCTCGGGCGATCTCTGAGCAGCATCTGTCCCATTTGCTTTGTCACGCATCAAGAACGGATTATGGCTGATCTTTTGTGGCGGACGGGAGGGGATGACTGGAGGGGTGTCACATTGATCCGGAACAGATGATAATGAATGCTGCGTCTCAGGCTCGAGTGATTGGCGGAAGGGATTTGTGTCTGGTGAGGAAGAGGTTGAGGATGCGGCATATTGTCTGGGTCGGTTGGGATGAACAGGCGGAGCGTGGACTTGACGTTTGGAGGGAGAAGTTGATCTTGACCGTTCGAGTACTTCTGGGATTGGGTAGGCTGTAATACATTCTGGTCAGTAACTAGTAACGGCCGAAGGATGAGATGGAGCTTGAGAGGCTGTAGTACACACCTTGCACAAACGCGAGAGTTCTATCAACGCGTTTACCTGACACAGCGTGAAGGACAAGCCTTAGTGCAGCAAAAAATTGGCCGCCAGTGAGACAATCTGTGTGGAGCAAGTTTGGGTAGAAGAGTTTCAAGATCTGCGCAGAACATTCAACGCGTGCCGTTAGAATGTCAAGAAGGTGGAGAAATAAACGAACCCTGTCAATATCAGCAGCTGGTAGATGAGGATATCTGCCTCGTAGCCACGCTCTGACTTCGCGGACGCCAACAGACATGGCTTCAAAGTGAGCATCGTCGTGAACTGTGGTTGGGTCAGGTGAAACAGCGAGATCATTGAGAGATGAGGTATATAAGTTATATTCGAGATCGTTGAGGGCAGATACATGAAGAGTTAGAGGTCGCATTGCAAGACAATAGTTTTTGCATGAGTAAGTTGTTCTAGCGCGTAATACTAGCATCGCATCCACGCTTAACACCACGCCAGGCACGTGCCTTGTGAACCTTGGTCTAGACGTTATCTTGCCATGCATGAAGATCTTCCACCACCCTACACCCAGTCTGGCACTACAGCACCGCCCATCTGGGAGCCTCACTTTATAGATCTCTCTCAACCCTCATCTATTGTTCTTCGCAAGCCCTTAGATCCTCCGCCCGACTGCTTTTCCACTCCGTCTCCTCTACGGGTCAAATCTAACGATTTCCCTCCATTCAGAATCCCCTGCGCTGGAAATCAACTCGCAGATGGTTTCCGCATTCTTTATCCCTCGGGCCTACTTGAGAAACATGGGATTCAACAAGTAGACTGGATGCGCTTCCTGGAGGATCTCGGAATCTCCGCTCGTCTTGCGGGTCAGGGACTTAGCGCAGTCGGTTCTCGAGTTCCCATAACAGCACTCCCAGTCCGTGGTATATTCGGCACAAGAGCAACTGGGGCGGTATATGACTCTCAGTTCCTGAGAAGCCCTAGGGACGAGGTGCAGACACTCATTTCCGTCTGGAACCAGTCTGCGTTTGAAAGACGGAAATTGCGTGTCACTCTGCAAATCAAAGGAGGAGTGGATAACAGGGCGACGTATGAGCTTCTTGTCGAGTCTCTTTGAAACACTTATGATAATCTCTACACATATCACCAGGACTCTTGATACACGATTCACAGCAGGTGTAGCACACGTTTGTAAATCCATGTTAACAGTTACACGTCCTCAGGACTTCGACAACGTAACTTTTGCAATTTGATTCGTGCTGCTTTATGAACAAGTTGTCTTTGGAGCTCCCTGTGCGATATGCAACAGCGCGCTCACGGCTACGTGAATCTACCCATGTATTTGATACGCTGACTCACTTTCATCTCAGTTCAGCTCAGTACCACAGCGGTTAATCCTCCGATATAATGACAAGATCGCCTGTTTTAAACCGTCCTTGTACGATTTGCTAGTCGAAGTTCGCAATAGTAAAGAAGTGGAGAGCTTCAGCCTAGAATTGGCCAAGCCCAGTGAAGGATTTGGTAGTTGCGAAGACTGGAACGTGTCCATAGCTTGAGGATATATATAAGTGTACGAATTCGACAGTCGTCAAAACGTGTCTACTGGTCCGCCGATCACGTTTCGTAGTATCTTTGACTCTCTCTCTACTACGAAGGCGATCGATCGACATTCCGCGTCGAGAGTTGTCTTGGGCACTAGGTCTCTTATGATACTGTATCATGCCCTGAAGACGAGTGAGCAGTTGAGGGAGATATGGGAAACAGTTCAACCTGGATTGGGCCGACAGTTCTGGTTGTCGGCGACAACGCACATGCATGCGCAAAGCAGCGAAACTTCGGTCGCGAATGTCGCGAGAGTTATGGTCAAGGGACTTGCTGGGATGGTGGTGGAGATGGAAGGGGTAAAGGTGAGGTGCTGTCCACCAAATTCAAGCACGAGATGCAGAATCTACAGGAACGCCGGTCACTCGGTGCCGATGAATTCTCTTGGATCGATCATGCTCACCTTGGCAAGATTCTCATTTCCCCGGGCTCTGATTGACTTTGAACCAGAACTGGGAATCTACAAGCGTGCCCCCAACATGGAATGGTCGAGGACTCAAGAACCGTTTCGCCATAACCGTTCGATCAGTCCGAGTGAGGGCTCGATGCTCTGGCGACGGGAGCCAAGCAAAGTGGATCTTGGCAACTCGGGTGTACTGGGTAGCATAAAGGGTCAATCAAGTGGAAAAAGGGAAGATTCTGGTCCGAGAGGATGTGGACCAAAATGACCACCGCAGGGGTCGAACCTGCAATCTCCTGATTCCGTCGTCGTCGTAGTCAGACGCGATGCCATTTCGCCAGGCGGCCGTGGAGCTGTCGTCGTTCTTGTTGGAAATATCACTCCGGGTTCTTTAAAGAGACCGCTGGTGCTTACATGTTGCTCCAGCGAGTGAGGAAGACACCCGTTCCGGCAAAGACTTAGTCTAAAACTATAAAAATACGCATGATAAACTGTCAGTTTCATGTATCACCCTTGTGCAACAGTTAACCCAGTTGGTACACAAAAATACGGCAGGCGATCAGTGGAAGGAGATGCGTAGTTGGCACAGTGGAGGATACAATGTTGCATCGTGGGCAGACGGCGTGATAGTAGCACCCCAGCACACTATTTCTTTTTTTGGACCCTGGTGCCTACGAGCAGTCTACGAGGCCACCTTCATGTGATCAGCTGATTGCTGTAGACATACCACACGAGCGACGCACTTTGACCATAAACCTACACTTTAGCGACAGGTAGATTGCCCGCATTCTCTTCTTGGCCGCATCTAACTTCCTGTTGTGCATGGCAGACGAGGAATCCAAAGAGCATCTGCCTTTGGAGAACAGCCGAACATGAATGACAAGGAACTAGCTGAATCAATGACAGATCAAGAACCTGTCAAGACATTCGAGGGTCATAAGCGTGACGTCGTCTCCATTGTAACGTTTCCGGAGGGTGAGAGATTTGCGACTGCTTCTAACGATAAGACAGTGCGGATCTGGAGGCTGGAGGACGGTACGGAATTGAAGAAGTGGGTAGCGAAAAAACCCGTCGCCACACTTGTAATCGCGGGAAACGGGAAACATGTGGTCAGCGCTGAGGGAGAGGCCCCTCCTGAAGACGATGATAACAATGAACGCTATGTGGTGGATTGGCAGCTGTGGGTCCGTGATGTTGAAAGTGGGAAGGTTGTCACATAGGTCCCTTGTACGGTCAAACATCGTGCAAACTTTGGACATTTCACCTGACAGCGGAACACTGGCCAGCGGCTCATGGGACTTTACAGTAATTTCATGGGATACAATCACCTGGCAGAGGCAAAGTGATCCCCTCTTATGTGGTGCTGGTATCAATTGCGTCCAATTTTCTTCCACCAGTAAACTTGCCGTTGCTACCGCCAAAAATATCCAAATATGGGACTGGGACCGAAGGGAGCGTCTTGCTCAGTTCGACGGCCACCGCGACTTCAATGATGTGGCGAACTTCTGGCTCACCTGGACTCGTGATAGTACCCAACTTCTCACAGCAGGTAATATCGCTGATCCCGTCATTCGCTCTTGGTCTACCTCGACCTGGAAACAGGCTGGCGATCCATGGACTGGTCATGACGAAGATCCTACCATATTATCTTGAACCCAGCTGGCACCCTTCTCGCATCAGCATCTGGAGACCGCACTGTTCGTTTGTGGCAGCTCCCCACCGGCACAGAAGTCGCCCGATTTGAGCATTCAGATTGGTTGATTCGTGCTGCATTTTCAGTCGATGGATGCTTTCTATTCAGTGGCGGTTCCGACGAGAAAGTCTCGCAGTGGGAGATACCAGAACAGGTCCTCGCAGCGGTACGAAGCGATCCTCTAGTCAGCAAGAAGAATAAGGTAGCTGCATTCAATTTTCGTCTCCCTTCCCATGCAAGCTCATATGCACCCATTTCAGGCTGGTCCTTCGCGAGGCAAGCAACGGGTGTGTTCTTACCCCGCTTTTATTAGGAGATACTGACTCTTCACCAGTATATGAAAGGGTTTTTTGATGTACGTGGTTTTAATGATGACTAGATCATCATGTCTCAGATACTCTCAGTCAGAAGTTCCTGGCCAGCGTCACAATGAGCCGTTGAACTACGAGCACATCGACAGGTCTCAAATACAGGCTACTCACTCTGCATCACCACGCGCCGATGTAGAAATTCCTTTATCTTCTCGCTTGCATCGTTTCAGGGTTTTTTCAATCACATTCAGCCGTCATCCGACAAGAAGGGGAAGCAAAAGGCACGTCAACTGAAACAAAAGGCCCCAGAAGTCCTCGATGTTCCTCTTGGACAAGCTACATACGTGCGTTTTTGCAGGTTTATTGTGCACATGAGATCTCACCATGACCTTCGATAGGGTGACGTTGTTGGTGTAGACGACGGAGTACGACCTTATGTACTCTTCTTTTGCCTCAGTTGGTCCAGAAGAAGAAGAAGAAGCCGGATCCACCACGCCCAATCTATGATGACGAACTTGAGGACGACGAATCTGAGGAAGGCATCATCGGCGTTCCCATACCAACAATCCAGTAAAACCATCTCATCTATTTGTGAAACTGGTTACCTGATGTAGTTTTCCAGGGTCCAATCTGCCCAGCACGAAGAAATAGAATTGAAACTAATGACTAGTCAGTCACAACCAGAGGCGGGACCATCCCGTCTTGCGGTAATTGAAGAACACCCACTAGTGCAGTCTTCATAGTTTGTTGAATTAACTCGCACTTGGTGACGGGCGCTCGTAACGAGGGTTTAGGGCAAGCCGGGCCTCCAGCTCAATGCTCAGAGGACCCGCATATATTCTATAATCAGGTTAGGTGCGCGGATGCGACTTCCGCGTGAAGGTCTAGATTATAGGTGACGAGGAGATGGCTCAAGGACGGATTGCTGAGGAACTATAACAACATCGTATGACTTGGCTCTCGCCCACCGACATGCCCAAGTAATCATATGATTGTCATCACAGAAAAGAAGTACCAACAGTCGGTGTAAGTGTGGGTGAACAACTAGTGCCAACAGGAATATCCAGGATATTTGGCTAGACATAGTTCGGACCAATAGCAAATCACTTAAATACATACTACAACGAAAACATTGCCCGGATCTATGGCTCCTTGAAGCCCACTTTGCAACACCGAATAACTTGATAAATACCACGACAAAACTTGGAATCAAGAAAGAAAAATTCTCCCCCTCCCCCCACAGAACTAGACAACCGTCGACTTTATCGAGCATCTCCCGCCCTGCACACCACTACCAGTCGATATATGCACGCGCTCCTGGAAAACGATTGAGGTCATGCCGGACGCTGCGTCGGAGTCGGCCACAAGCTTGGCGTGATATTCTCGAACGCCAAGGATCAGGCGTGGTCCCAGCACAAACATCTGCATGACCATGAAAAGCTGAGCCAGCCCTATATAAATCTGAGCATCTAGGGAATATTTAAAGAGTTTTTTGTAAATAGGTTTGGTTAAGGATATGGTTTTGTTAGGGGTATGGCCTACTCAAACTCATGTGTGTGGGAGATGTAAGATGAAAAACACACATTACTTATAGGGTCAAAATAGAAATAGGTTTCAAACTTGAAAAAAAATAACTTCTTCTGGGCTGGTACATATCATGGTGGGTACTTCCAGGAATGATATGAGCCAACAATCAAGAAAATCGGCGGTTCGGTTATGGAGATATGGTCGAAATACTCACTTTTGAGCCCCCTTGACATATCTCATTATTGTCGACCTCCGGATGCTCTGGGACCATTCCCAATCGATTCATAAGCCTCAAATACCCTAGGACAGATGTTTGCAGTATCGGTATTGAGGCAGAACACCGGTATAGTCACATATAGGAGGTCAGGAGGGGGGGGAGGACCCTGTATATCTCAGGAACATGATTTTTCCAGCCAAATCCGGCTCGACCATCGTGTTCAGAGGGCTCAAGAACCCCCAGGAAAAATACTCCTGAAGGACAGGCAAGTCATATGAAGTCTAGAAAAATCGATCTTTGGGTGGGGAAGCATGGCAGTGGTGGTCAACTTTGGAACATGATTTTTAGAGCAAAATCGGGCTCGACCAACGTGTTCAGGTGGTTCAATACCCTCTAGAACGAGTCCTACATGAAGCCAGACAAGTCATATGAAGGCTAAACAAATCAATCTTTGGGTGGGGCACCATGGCAGTGGTGGTCAACTTTGGAACATGATTTTTAGAGCAAAATCCGGCTCGACCAACGTGTTCAGATGGTCCAATAACCTTTAGAATGAGTCCTAGCTAAAGCCAGACAAGTCATATGAAGGCTAAACAAATCAATCTTTGGGTGGGGCACCATGGCACTGGTGGTCAACTTTGGAACATGATTTTTAGAGCTAAATCCGGCTCGACCAACGTGTTCAGATGGTCCAATAACCTTTAGAATGAGTCCTAGCTAAAGCCAGACAAGTCACATGAAGGCTAAACAAATCGATCTTTGGGTGGGGAAGCATGGCAGTGGTGGTCAACTTTGGAACATGATTTTTAGAGCTAAATCCGGCTCGACCAACGTGTTCATATGGTTGATAGAGGATGGTAGGATTGCCAGGATGACCGCTCAGTGGTTGAGACCCTAACCTTATCCTAGGGTTTAATTTACGGCGACGACTGCCTTATGTGGACGCCCTAACCCTAATTTTGCGTGGGAATATGGTCGAGGAGGGTGGCTGCCTCCTACACTGACAGCAGTCCCCAATGGGAGCCGCTCTCATGGTGAGGAGATGAGAAACGCACCTGCAGATTGTGTGGCTCCCAATGGGACTCGCGTTCATTGTCAGTAGATCAGCAATGATAACATACCTGCAGACAGTACGGTCCCCATTGGGACCCGCCCCTGTTGTGGGTTGATATTGCACATATGTGTGCAGCAAGTGCGGTCCCCATTGGGACCCGCATGTGTTGTGAGGAGATGAGACACCTGCCTGCAGAGAGTGCGGTCCCCAATGGGAGCCGCGTCTGTTGTGAGGAGATAGATAACCACCTGCAGAGAGTGCAGTCCGTAGATGACAGAAACACATGTAGGGTGTGCGGCTCCCATTGGGACCCGCGTGTGTTATATGTAGATTAGAAAATACCTGCAGCAAGTGCGGCTCCCATTGGGAGCCGCGTGTGTTGTCAGTGGATAATGCATACCTGCAAAAACTGCGGTCCCCAATGGGAGCCGTGTGTGTTGTCAGTGGATAATGCATACCTGGAGAGAGTGCGGTCCCCATTGGGAGCCGCATCTGTTGTCAATGGATAACGCATACCTGCAAAAACCATGGTCCCCAATGGGAGC